CCTGTTGTTCTCGCTGCTGTCGTTGCTTGTGCTGCTGGAGCACGTAACTCGCCAGGGTTTGGTCAGTCATTTGCGGAAAGAAAACTAGCTGCTTCTTGTTGACTACTCTTTTCGGCTTTTCCTCTTCGATCTCTTGTTGTTTTTGTTGTTGCTGTTGCGGGTCAACTTCTGAGGAATGCAGAAACGTCAGAGAAGTCGGTTGGACGTGGGAGAATTCCGGAGGGTCTGCGTGGAAATACGACAGGAATTTCGCGTTCTCATTGCCCATGTGGTAAACCCTGAAATGCGGTACTGGGATAATTAACGGAAATGTAACACACACACACACAAAAAGACAATGAAGGGAGGGTAATGGGAGAAAAAATCAGCGAAGATTTTATTTCAATTAGCAATTATTGTGTTTTTTGCGGCGGAACGTAGAGAGCTTGGAAGGTTGCAGTTCTTCGCCTGCAGACAGGTCATCTTTTTTTTCAAGTAATTAATTAATTAATCAACTGCTGAATTAACGTGATGATGCATAATTTACTTCCCTGATAGGGAGAAAATTTGCACGTGCCGAATTTCTTGAACGCTAATGCAATTCTTTTAAAACGCAATTTAATATTTTCTCCAATTCCGACTGAAAAAAAAATTGCATGCCGAATTTTAAAAATATAAATTCAAATTTGTCGATTCACCCGTGAATCTGACGTGTAACAAAAGTTCATGAACCAAAATCGGATTTTCTGGACCTTGACTAAGACATTTGAGTGAATATAGCACAATATCATATTTTTATTATGCTTTATTTTGTTTCAGCAAAAGGAAGTTGGCGTCCAAGAGGATCATTTTATTCGCCTCCAGCGACGATCCACACAAGGGAAAATTGGATCTCCAAAAGCATGCTAGACAAAAGTCGCAGGATTTGAAAGACAATGGAGTGGAAATTGAGTTGCTACCGATTGGTTCTCGGGACTTCAATGTCAACACTTTTTACGAAGCAAGTTTTATTCAATTTTTTTTAGTAAAAGCTTGTTTTCTACCTCTTGTGTATAATCCGAAAACAATGTATTATCACCGGCAACTTGGCACGGTTTTGATGAATGAAATTGTGTATTATTACTGCAGTATAGGATTTCGTTCTAAAGAAACGTCTGAGACCCTTGAAAATAACTTCATTGTGAAAAAAATTTTAAACGAATTTAAAATGAATAAAAGAATTAATCTGTATTTTAAAGTACGAAATTGAAATAATTCACGAATTTAAAATAACCTTCGTCTGAACGAACGATTTATCGAGGAAAATTCTGGAAAGTGCTCTTCATTGTATTCGAATTTCTAGAATATCTTTACTTCATAATTTAATTAAGCGGTACGTAATTTTAAACTTGCTCTTTTCTGCGAGAAATTTTGGAGGAAGAACTTCCCGAAGATTTCCTGTTCACTCAACAAATGTGTGGCTTATGATACATTTTTAAAATTTGGAAATTCTCCAATTATTTTGCTTGCTTCTCAGACAATTGTGACCAGTGCAGAAACAGATGCGACTGAGAAATTGCAACAGATGCAAGAAAGAGTGAGAAAGAGGGCCTATAAAAGGAGACCCAATGGACACGTGGAGCTGGAAATTGCCCCTGATTTGAAAATCTCCGTTGAAGTTTACAACCTGGTTAGGTAAGTTGAAGAAAACAAATTTTGCGATTCAGAAGATTTTTATTTATCAGAAAATGAAATTTTTATTTTTATTGTAACAGGTCGTTGAATAAACCAACTGCTGTCAAGCTCTCCAAGCGCACTAATGAAGAAGTTCTGGCCATAACCAACACCTTTACAAAAGTTTGTTTATTTTTTTTAAAATAAATGTTGCGAATGGTCTTTTCAATTTTCATAATTTTTATTTTTGCAGGAAACCGGCCAGCTTCTCATGTCTGATGATGTGGTGAAAACGCAGGAATATGGTGGCAAGAAATTCGCATTTTCTCAAGTATGCTTTTTTCAATTTCATATTGTAGAGCTGATTGCGTCTTTTTATTTTGTATTCTTATTATTATTATGACTGAAGTATGAACAGCACTTCTCAACTCTCAATCTTTCATTGTGTATTGCAACAAAGCTTGTTAACACTGATCCAATTTGGTTGCTGTGCGCATTCCTCAACCTTGTTTGTCAAATATTATATAAATATATATAGATATATAGATTATATTATGGTAGATAAATATACATAGATTGTATAGATATATATGATTGAATGAATGAACAGAACACATTATTTGCCGCTTCTCAGCGTTCACAAGGTTCAATCAAGATTTCCACAACCACACCCCCTTCCCACCCAACCCAAATCCACTCAATGACATTTAATCACTTCAGAGCAGGACAGCACAAATTGATAACAAAAATAAAAGAAAATACATTAAAACATGAAATACAACTGGACATCTGACATGTATGCATACACCCATTCACTCCCATATATTATCATATATTAAGGGGATGTTAGATGATGCAAATAGTAATGGTTTAGTATTTCCACAAGCAAGATCAGCTAGTAATTTACTTGAGTCTACAACATCACAATTATCATGACAAAATTGAGTGATTAGGATCTTTTCTCTGCCTTTATTGATGTTACACTTGAGAAATTGAACAAAATCTTCTGCAGTTAGTATTGTACTCAATTCTAGGTACATTGAAGACAATATATGTATCGATTATATTTTTATCTATATAGTTTATATACAGGGGACTTGTACCAGCTGAAATAGCAATTCTCTAATGTGATCAACAGGCAGAAGCGAGAGAAATCAAGAGTATCCTGAAAGACCCCATCATCAGGATCGTTGGGTTCACTAAGCTGGATACTGTAGTCAAGCAAGAACCTTCAGAACCAGACCCTGCTGATCCAGACACTGTCATCAACAAACCCTTGAAGCATATGAAATTACAACATCACGTGGCCCCAGCATCCTTCATTTACCCTGACGAAAAAAACATCAAAGGATCGACCAAGTTATTCAAGGCCCTGTTGAGTCGGTGTTTTGTGAGAGGTGTTGCCCCAATTGCCTGGTTCATGCCCAGAAGGAATGTCAATTTGAGACTGGTTGCACTGGTGCCTGAAACTGATGATGATGATGTTGGTGGGAACCGCTTGACACCACCTGGGTTCCACGTGGTTCCTTTGCCATATGCGGGTTCGTCATTTTTGTTGTTGTTGCGTTGAAACGTAATTTTCCACAAATAAAAAACCTTGGGGAACTGA